GCTTATGAAGCTTAAATTGCTGAATTAAAAGTGCCATGAAGAGCATTTATCAATTTTCTTCACGTTGAACAAGAATGTAAAGTTAAGGAGGAGGAAAGCCGTATCAAAAAGCACCAGTTATATGACAGACGCAGAAAATATTTTTGAAGCTGCTGTGGAAATGGTGAAGGAGGATGACCCCTCGTGGGAACAAAAGAATGAATTTAAATGAAATCGCATAAATTCTTTTGGTTATTCACAAAGAGCTTCACCATGAGAAGAAAGTAAATTGTCTAAAAGAAGAAAGATAATTTTGTCACCAAGGAAGAGACAAAAATAGTCCAAGAGGGGTCAGAAAAATTCCCCTGAACAACACATACAGGCAGCCCAGAGAATAGCCAAGAACAATGTGCCAATCTTTCTCCCCGAGACGTAAAGGCAGACAACCTTGCCTTTTTGTCTTGGTAACTCTTCAAGTAATCTTCACCCCACACTGAGCCTCAACACACACACACACACAATAACAGTAATCGACCAATTTGACAAAGAGGAATTCCTGAAAGCAGTACCCTCAAGAACAAGAGGTCATAGATTCAAGCTAAGGAAGCAAAGGTGCCATGAAGATATTAGAAAGTTTTCTTTAGCAAACAGTGGTAGACGGTTGGAACAAGTGAAAAAGTGGAGGTGGCCAAAACCATCAGTAGTTTCAAAGCATTGTATGTCAAAGAGTACTGGGAAGACGGGACACCACGAGTGTAGCTCTCATCCTGTAACCACACTTAGATAATTACACTCTCACTCCTATTAAATATCTGTAAAGTATGAATATGCTGTAAAAGTAATGTAGGTAACCATATTTATTTCATGGATTCTGAACTTTTGATTTTTGGGGAAAATATTTATGATGTTTAGATTAAAATTTAAATTTCCAGAACACAGCCCTAACATGAATACAGAAGGATGATAGTACAATACTGTATGCAGTATAAATAAGCTATTATTTTTAACGCACATTGTAATAAAATTATTTTTTTAGCGACTTAAATTAGGGAATAAATATTATTTACTACATGGAATATCTGCTTTGCAATAATGAGTAAATGGAATTGCAGCACATATGCAAACACTCTTGGGCACATGTGGTCAGTGGTAGAAAAAATCACTCATGAGCATGATTACTTTGAGAATGCACAACAAACTATTTTATTCAAATAAATAAATAAATTAAATAAATAAATAAATAATTTATTTATGAATGGTCCCAAGTCATAAATCACCAAGAACTCTATGACCCGACCAAGGTTCAAACCTGCATAGTTAAGGCTCGCACCCAGGTATACACAGTACCGAGACCACTTCACCAGTGCTTTTACACAGCACCTTGCACAAAATATATATACTATATATTTTTGGTATACATGAGTAGAGGGTGAAAATATTGGGGCAGGTTTTGGATTGAAAGAAAATAACAATGTGATCCCACTCGGGAATTTGCCACATGGTTTTCAATATTACCAACAGCAGTTTAGATAATGTGTGGTATAACGAGGCCTTAGAGTGCTGCAACACTATAATCATTAGAGAGGCCAGAGTAGCCCCTCAATTCAGAATGTTGCCATATTATGTCACACTGATAACTCTGCCCATGTTGTGAGTCAGTATGGTTCCTGGCTTTGTCAAGATTATGTATGTACTGTATATTAAAAAATGAGTTGCGTAGTTATGAGTAAAATGATTCACCTGTGGATGATGCATCTTAATGCCATTTCTAAAAAAAGTAAGTTTTTAATAGTATAATTGCCATAACATAACAACCAACACCAGATTAGTCATAATAAAACGTATTAAAACTTCCAGTTAACAAATATTTACCATTAGAATCTTTTAAGTTATGTAATATGCTACGTATGTTATTTTAACAAACTACAGTAAAAGCAACAAGACATTTGTTATCAATGCTACCATGGATTTTCATGCAATGCAATGCCTAAATATCGCTCATGCAACAGGTGTCAACAAGGTTGATATCAATCACCCACTTCAGTCTCATTTTTAAAACTGGCATTTAGAAAACTGAATATACATTTACATAAAACATGAAGAGCAAATAGAACATTAATTAAGATAGCTCATCAATATAAATACCAAAATCCATTTTGCACTACTGAATGCCAAGTTCAAAATCAAAAATAAAAAACAAATGCAGAAAATATTAAGGGAAACTAATTTGACACTTGACTCTACCAACCAGTAATCAAGAAACATTAACTGGCATTATGTTCATACAACAAATGCTAATGAGCAAGCAGCAATATCCTGGGTGAATAATATCATGGCTGACCTGGTCTAGCGGGCACAATCATCAGGAGAAGCACTAAAACCATACAAACAAAACAGGGTTGGTGGTGGGCGGACACAGGGACGCGCACAACAGTCATGGTGACAAGGGTGCAGGCGCGTCTATCAAGTTAGAGTGTTTCTCGGCTTGTTAGACTATTTGGTGGCAATATAATTGAAGCAACGAAAGTGGCAGTTTTCAATGGACGTGATATCTAGGACTTTTTATTTTTCCTTGTCAACATGCTTAAAATATATAAAATAAGAAGGCGCTATTTTTTCCCATGATTTCAACAGAATCGGTAATAATTTATTATCTAGTAAAAGTATAAAAATGGTGATAATTATAATAACAAATGCAAATCTAACAAGTACTGTAATTATAAGATTAATGACCATAATAATACAATAATGACATTTACAGTAACATATACCTATTACAAATATTAAATAATTAATAATGAAAAATTATTCAAACAAATAGCCAATATTCATATTACTGAAATTTAACTCTTGACTGGCAACTAACAAAGATGTAGACCCCTGACTGGCAACTAATAAAGATGTAGACCCCTGACTGGCAACTAACAAAGATGTAGACCCCTGACTGGCAACTAATAAAGATGTAGACCCCTGACTGGCAACTAACAAAGATGTAGACCCCTGACTGGCAACTAACAAAAATGTAGACCCCTGACTGGCAGCTAACAAAAAAATTGTCATCGAGTGACAATGATTTCTCTTTGTAATACAATATTGTATTAGTAATTTATCATGACCAAAAATTTAATTTGAAAAGACCTTTGAAAAACACTCCCAAACTCCAGAAATAACACAGCTACAGTTTAACTTCTAGGACTCTTTCAGTCTCTTGCACCCATTCATACAGCTGACTTAATACCCTTGATAATTATAAGCCAAATAGAGTTCTACTTGCACTTTAAACCAATGTAGTTCACGCTAATGTCTTCAAAATCATTTCAGTAACAACTCTATTCAATTTCTTCTAAGTATTAAAATATCACAACAATTCAAATATTTATTTGAAATATTTCTGTACGAGTTCTGTACATATACTTCGTGCAAGCAAGCGCAACACGCATGTTAAAATTGCACTTATTTGTTATAAACATGTGTACGGTAGTTACAAGAAGCACTATACTCATGGTGGCACATCTTTTTTATTGTAAATTAATTCCTATTGCCGGGAGATAGAGAGCCTGTACTTCAGCCTACTGAGGTTCCACCTAGTCCAACTACTGACCTTTTCCCCAGGATGAAACGCTCAACAATTGCCAAATTCCAAGGTATATAGGTGAACAGAGACATCAAGTGAAAGGAAACACACCAAACCGTTTGTGTCCTGCCTGGGGATTGAACATGGGTTTCTCGACTACAAGCCGAGGATTCATACCACTGTGCTACACTATCCATTATATACTTTATCATAGAATTGATAAAGTCCTAATGGTCTTGGCACAGTACCACAGTACTTCCAGGAGCATATTCCAAATAAAATCCTGATAATTTTCTGTTCCAATTCTTTTTAGTTCTCAACTGTATCCTCTTGCCAGTAGGTATCAGTCACTTCTATTTACTCTATGGTGTTTTCTGGAATTGGCACCGAGTTTGGCTCTCTGAAATCCTAATTTTTCACTACAACACTTTGTAACTTAGTGTTTCACACATTTCTTTCTCATTCTCAGGGAACCTGTCCCCCATTCTCAATCTCCGAATTTTAGCTTTTACGTGCAGCTTGCTTTTAATGAATATATAGAAAAGGCCTGGATCTGTTCTACATTTGCCCGCACTCCCTTTCTTGAAGTTCTTTTCTGCCTCTCTTCTCATTCCTGTGTATTAACACAATTATTTATCACTACTATATGCAATAATGTCTAAGAGGCATGATGGATATAGCAATTCCTTGCAGACAGCCTTGAGATCTTCAATATTAATACAGGGTGAAGAAAAATGAATAATAATGCAAGATATAGCAAACCTTGTAACTTTTCTAATATTAGCCATATTTTAAGGAATGCCTAAATTCAACCAATCTGCTAATGATTATTACAAATTTTCATAATTTTAAAGGCATATAGTATGAACCACACAGCTGTACACCACTGACAACACAACTTTTACACACACACAAACGCGCACCTAACTTTAACTGTGATACGTCAAGAGTTCTCCAGTACTAAAATCAATGGAAATCGAGATAAACTGATACATATAGATAAGACCGTTATCCTGAACTAAACTGCAAATTAATATCTACATGTACAATGATCAAGTGGTTTTTAACTCTCAACACCATGGCTTGCTTTTAGTAAAGCAAACCATGTTGGAGTTCATGGTTCCTTAAGTTTAAATGAAATATTTCTTTATGCAAACAAAATAAAATATTAATTTATACAAACAAAACCAGACCTTAAATAAAATGAAATGAAGAGGGCTGTTGATAATATAACTTTGTAAATAATCTTCTGTATTGGGCTGAAATAGTAAAACAAAATTTAGACAAAAGATTCCTTAAAATGCCTTCAGCTCCATCTTAAATGCTTCTCATTGCCAACTTCCAAGAAAACTCTTATCAATTTGAATAAAAAATGAAACGAAGTCTTAACAAAATTTGCAAAACACTCTTTCTTGATAGAGTGCCTCATGAGGGTGGAAGGACATACCAGCTCAAGAGTGTAGAGCATTTCACGTTGTTTGTTGAGCTCCTGTAGATACAACTGCGGAACAACAATAATGTCAGAGTGTCAGAGAGTTACTACGTGATGTCACCCGCCATCATGGTCTCTTGAGCACAATGCAAACGCACACTTCTCCAGTTTCATTTCTTTAGAATGTGGCTTTGCAAATGGCTTCAGAGTTATGATGGTTGGTGAATACACATAATGTGGGGGCATGCCAATCAACCGTTAAAAACTACAGTTGAGAGAGTCGGTGGAGAAATGAAGCAACAGTAATACACTAAATGATATCACAGAAATACTTATATATACTGTACTGTATTCATATTTTATATATATATATATATATATATATATATATATATATATATATATATATATATATTTTATATATATTATATATATTATATATATTATATATATTATATATATATATATATATTATATATATATATATATATATATATTATATATATATATATATATATATATATATATATATATATATATATATATATATATATTATATATATATTATATATATATATATATATATATATATATATATATATATATATATATATATATTATATAATATATATATATTTATATATATTATATATATTATATATATTATATATTATACATGTCATACCCAATGGATAGAAATGCACTAGTTGAACTAGTTAGCAAGGCCTGCTTTTTTTTTTTTTAAACCATATTGACTTTTACATATTTCCAAATATTTCTTTAAAAATTTATTAACCCCAAATATTATTAACATTGTACTGACAACATGAATTTTTAATTTAGTTACACCTGGTTTACCTATCTCATATTATATTGTTATATATATATAATGGAATGAAATATGTTTTGTATAATTTTTTGACAAATTGAATATTAAAGAAAATGTGACGTTAATTAAGCAAGTGTAAGTATTAGGAATGACTCTGCATTGATACATATAGATACATACCCAGAGCCGCTCTCCCTCCCGTCCAGTAGTGTGCTGCGAGCCAAGTGCTGGTACAGTCAAGCCTAAGTCACGCGCACCATGGCCACGATTCATCAAGCATTTACACTTGCAATCCTGTACATCTTTTTCAATATTTTGCAGCTTTGTTTACATTTATTAAACAGTTTATGACCATCAAAACTTTCCAACTAAATAATGTTATTATAAACAGCCTCCTAGTACTTCACAGCTCAAACAGTTTAATAAATGTAAACAAGGCTGACAAAGACAGAGAAATGATGTACAGGGTCCTAAGTAGATGCATCAATGCTTCTTGAAACCATGGCCCTAGCCTCTTAAGACCCACTCTTGTCTACCTGGAGCCAGGACCAGAATCTATCTGACTCTACGAGGCAAGGGAAGCTTGGAGTTTGGAGTTCAACCCAAAACTAAGTAGCCCGATATTGAACCTGGCAAGGGTGGGTGTCGGAGGCCTGGTACATCTCCCTAAGGCACGAGGTGTAACAACACTTACCCCAGCACTCTACTGTGGCCCCACCAAAAAAATGACATTTCATTACATTCAACATTTGAATAATGCAAACTGAATTTCACTAGAAGTTAGTTTCCTAAGATTTTTACTGTTTGATTGATAGGTATGTTTATTTTAATGAACAAGGAAATTATTTATATATTTGAATCAACAAATCTTAGCAGCCTGATCTATCATAATTATACCTTTTATATACCTATTATTTCGGGTTACAACTGAAACGTACTGGGATATATTCCCTTGGCAGGATTTCCTTTCACTTTATGATCCTTTAGCAGTAAACAGGTACTCAAGATATAGTCAACTGTAATGGGTAGAAGGCCTAGGAAATGCCAGTTGAAGGCTTAGGGAAGGCAGTTAAAGGCTTAGGGAAGGCCTAAGGAAGGCCAGTTAAAGGCTTAGGGAAGGCCTAAGGAAGGCCAGTTAAAGGCATAGGGAAGGCCTAAGGAAGGCCAGTTGAAGGCCCAGGGAAGGCCTCGATATGCCTAAACTGGCTTCACGTTCCTGCCTACGGGAAACTAACTGACAAACTTTATAGTTAACAAAAATCACTTTGGTTTTTAAGTACTGTACTGTAAAATAGTACTTACATATTATACCTAGCAGTGTGGTTCTGGCTTTTAGGTATAACATTACATTGTACTGTATATTATACCTAATAGCCCCAAGTGTTCTACTAAGCTTAGTAGACAAGGTTATTTTCAATAATAGCCAAAGCCATTTTTCTCTCTTATCTGAAGAAAATTGTTTGCACAATTAAATTATAATTATATTGGTTAACATAAGTACCAACTTAATAAGATCTGGTTTAACCTGTTTTAGGCAAAGTTAAGGGATACAGTACTGTATGCTCAATTTAATGACTGCCGATTTATTTATATCATTGAAAATAACGTCTGGTTTTGAGAACGGTACTAAACATGGTTCCTGACATACTGCCTCAATGTTTCGTATAAACAGTGGATGACTACGATTGCAAATGCAGGCATTTATAACCATAACCACCGATGCCATATCCACAGTACTGTACCATAATAACGAATCTTAATTTCGCTCCCACATTTGCTTTGTATGGATAGTGATTGCTCTGTGTATAAAGTTAATAAACTTAGAACTTCAGATCACAAATAACACTTCTTACATCCACAACCATGCCATCGATAGAGAAAAAAATAAAATAAATAAATAAATTTAGGCGAGTATAAGCAATCCATCCCCCCCCCCCTCCCTCGAGACAAACATGATATGCACCAAAGTAAATTATCCATTTATTCTTGAGCTGCCTCGTGTAGATATGGTATAAATTCCATACTGTACTCACCACAGTCACATCAGGGTAGTGGGAGCTGCTATTGGGTTCGTTGTGTCAATATCAACTATTCAGGTTGTACCCCTTTATAAAAATAATAACACATTTAACCTTCAAAGTGTTGTTATTATCATATTAACGGGGTAATGCAGTTATCATACGTTGATTTAAATTACTACCGTCTGGAGTTTAAAACCAATAATGCTAATATGGACATAATAGCTGTATACAAATGTACGGGAGTTAACTTTAGCCCACGAAGAAATCCTGCTATCAGTTCACGAGTGCTTACTATGCAAATGAAGTTATCGTTGCAAATGTTGTTATGCCCAAGCTGTAATCACGATATAAAATTCCAGATGATGCGTCACAGTAACGTGGCTGAAGATATGACGACCAAACCACACATCAGAAAATAGAGAAACAGCGACGTTCCAGTTCATCTTGGCCCATACGACCTGATAATGGTTCAGGACAGATGGAAATGTCAATGTTCCTCTATTTTCTGACGTGTGGTTTGGTCATCATATGACAAAATTCTATTACAGTAAAATTACATAATATGTATACAATTATCTGCAATGGTTTTCACAACTCTATAAAGATATAATGAGGTACACCAGGTCAACCAATCATCCTTTGAACAAAATAATAAAGGCACTACAAAAGATCTATTGGCCTGTACTAGGCAGATTCTATTTAACATAACATAAGAATAAAGGCAACTGCAGAAGGCCTATCAGCCCGTCCAAGACAGCTCCTATTTATAACCACCCAATCCCACTCATATACATGTCCAACCCACCATTTATATCTATCCAAACTCATTAATATATATGAATGAGTTTGAGTGAATATAAGTAGGAGCTGCCTCATATGGGCCAATATGCCTTCTGCAATACCTTTAGTTCTTATTGATATATGCATTCAGTCATTCTATATATTCATTCATTCACTGACAGATCTATTGATACAAATACACTCATTGTAGGTCTAAATTCATTATTCTTACAGTTAGTAATGTACTCAATCCATGTTTTTGCAAATTACTGTACATGCACAAATCTAGTTATTCAATAAAAATACTATGATGAATGAACTAAAAAGTGGTAGAAACATCCAAGGTCAACACTGGAGTCATCTGCCACATGCTGGTGTGTCAGTAAGACCCCAGGTCTGGCGCCGGCACATCCGATTGGATGTGCCACCCACCAATCTTCTACAGCTCACCTAACCAGTAAATATGAAGATACTGTAATTACATTATTTAAATTTTTCTTTAAATTTTGCATCCAAATTAATCATTCTATAAGGAAAACTATCCATAGCCACACTTTAAGGGTTAAGGCAACATTAACACTTTCGCCCGGGCATGACGCAGCATTGCATCATCCGTTTACTGTCGGTAATGCTGGGGATGACGCAGCATTGCGTCATCCTCTTTAAATAATCGCCAAAAATCAGGTTTTTATCCGATTTTTTTGGGACTGGTTTTAAAATGCGCGCCGATGTCTTCCCATTTTCTTTGTTGAGCCTCGTGGCCCTCAGGCGGCTTAGCACACGCCGTGGGCTCATTGTTTTCGCTCCACTGTTGTGACCAATGTCGCCTCCCCTCGCATCTCAAACGTGTGAACTTTTCGGCTATTTTCCGTGGCTATATTTCTTACTGCGACTTTAGAAACTATCTACGCTTACTCCACAATGGATAGTGATCATGAACAAGGCCCTTCCAGGAAGAAAATTGCGGAAGAAAGGCTTGAAAAGGGCAGGAATTGGGAGTGTAGCTAGAAGGCGTCTGAGCGCTCACTTGTAGCTAATGCGTGGCCCGTCTTCAACTCGTCGGCGGTTGGAGCGTGACCAGGTTTTTTATTTTATATGCTAATGTTCCTCTAGAGAATTCTATTGCGAACCCATTGAGACCAAAATGAAAGACCTAGGACGAAAATTGAGGTGACCAGAGTGAAAATAGTGAAAACATTTTATCGCGTTTGCGCGCTCCTGGGTAACACGTTCGCACTTTCTCTGTTTGCTGCGGGTAATTAGCCGGGCTTTTGGAGTTTATATGCATTTAGTGCTGTAGAGAATTCTATTGCGAACACAATGATACAAAATTTAATCTCGTAGGACGAGAATTAAGGTGACAAAGTTGAAGAGAGTATACACTTTTCAGAATTTACGCGCGCTCCCGTGACACCCTGGGTCCCATATCGCACAGTTGAAGGGTGGCGTGCGGGGTACGCCAAAGTGTTAATGGGGACACCATTCATGCCCCTCATTTTCGCACACGCTGTACAGGCAAACATTACTAACAGAAATCTTAATTTCAACCTGTCATATGATAGAAATCTACCAGGAGAACCTGCCTGTACAAATATTTCACTATTTCCCACACTACAGACAAAACTTTATTTTTCAATGCTGGTACCATTGGGTCCTAAGCCAACGAGATGAAAACTGCACCGAACTAAAAATAAGATAACGTAAAATTTAGTTTCAACTATGCTTAATGAGTTTTCCACAACAACTCCTTTTTCTACGGATAAGTTCATTTACCTAGAGATGCCATTCATAACCTTCATTTTCCCACATTCAGAAAACAAAATTTTACTGACCGAAGTCTAAATTTAACCTACCGTTTATAGGCTTTACCATCATCGAGTATTTTCAGACTACAGCCCCAAAACCTTATTATTTAAATATAGCATCATCACCCCCTAATGGTATAAATGAACCAGAATCACTAACATTCTTATAACCAAAACTGTCTTTGGCTCAAGATTTTCTGTTTAATTATGATGGGAATCCAATACAATTTCAAAGCCAGGCCATAGTTTGGTGTAGCAGACAGCATACTCCATTCACTAAGAACATGTGTGCTGGCAGCCCACTAACAGTCCAGTCCAACTCATGAACAAGGACCACTGTATGTAGAAAACTATGCAATTACTGTATTTTAATAATTTGGTACATACTGCCACCGACATAATAGGGTCCCACTGTAAATATGATTCCTGACATCCTGCATTCGCTGTTTAATATAAAGAGTGGACAGCCACTACTGGACATACAGTACCTTCTGCAAATGACTCGATGCTGCCAACAATTTATCAACAACAGCACAATTCTACCTGGCAAATAAGGAATAGCCCCCCATATCATTCATCAAATTGGGTATAAACTATAATAGACATATTTAAGTTAGGTGGGTTACTAAGTTAGTTGTGATTCAGAATAAAAAAGGCCTTATGTTTATTAAAATTAACATATCTATCAATCGACTAGTTAAAATGTTTGAAAACTTAATTTTATATATATATATATATATATATATATATATATATATATATATATATATATATATATATATATATATATATATATATATATATATATATATATATATATATATATATATATATATATATATATATATATATATATATATATATATATAATATATATTACATATATATGTATATATATGTATCTGTGTATCATAAAGATGTAAAATAAAACCAATGTCTGAAAAATTTACATAGATAAAAGCAGGCATATCATAATTTATATAAAAAAATGACACAATTATAAGTCTTGCAGAAATTGTTAGCTCAGTATTTTCATACAGTATACTGTATTACAAAAATGTGAATACCTAAAAGATTGACTCAATATTTTCCACCGACTCTCTCTCTATCTCTCTCTTTCTCTCTCTCGAGTAAAGACTCAAAGATCTAATCACACTGACTGATCAATTGATGACATACATTGACAAGGTTTTCATTGCTCTGAGTGTCTGTAGAGTGGCTAAGACAGCTGTGGATGGCTGCTCCTGTCAATATGGAAATTTGTGAAACATTCTCAAAAAAATGTCTACAGTCTTAAGATGAGTAATCTGTGGCATTAGTCTGTCTACAGCTTCTTGTGTTACTCTACAAAAGTGCCAAAACCTACAGCATTCAATCTACAGATTTGAGATTAAGGACTGTGTTTTGTAAAGTGATCAATCAGGGTATATGACTTTTGTCAAACGTCACCTGAATACATATTACGATAGTGTCAATAGCTAGCCATGTAAGACTGTTTCTGCTCTTACCAGAGAATATCTTTGCCAAAAAATCTCACCCTAAATGAGTTCATTTACAAATGTATCCTAATGACTCAAATGTGCATAGGCACTGAAGGTAAAATACAAAATGCCTGGCCCTCTATCACAGATCATTGTTCAAGCATCACAAATCCAAAATATTATCACAAAAAAAAAAATGGTCAGACTTGGTACTCAAACATTGACTTAGATCGAGATATCACAAAGGAAACACTTACTGCCAATAATTTAACAAAGAAAAAGTCGGTAATCATTAGACGTTACTTTTTAGCTTCTACATACAAACTTCTAAAATAAAGTGAAATATATATTAAGATATTCCATATCTGTGGCAGGTTAAACAACTAGTAAGCTTTGTAGAGAACCAGACTAAAGGGATATAAGCAGGAAGTGCTTCCAGCTAATATTCAGGCAGTAGAAATATGAACCAACCGGAGAAGTCTCCAGTGAGGCAATATACTTACCATATGCTCAACAAACAGGCAAGTTTGTTTGATATATTTCTAGTCCAGGTAATTACAGTCAAAAATACTATCTACTAGAGTCCCTGCTGGACATCACACCACGGGACGAATGAACTGCTACATACATGTCCACAGAAAGTTCGGCACAATCTTATCCAGATTTAGAAATATTGCAAACAATCTTTCCTACTTGAAAAGTATTAATGTCATCAGCCACATTAATTATAAATGTAACAAGACAAACAATAATATTTCAACAAGGCACATTTTTCTGTAATAACAAAAACAATAAGACTGACTTCCTTGGAGAGATCTCAAAATACTTCATCCCCACATGTAAACAATTTGAGCAGTTTTACTACAACACATACAGTGAGTTGACTAATACTCAAGGTGGTGGAAATATATACACTACATTATCCTACAAATTCACAGAAGAAAGGATAGATCCTATTTATGACTTACCTGCTCTTTCAGCAATTTTTGTTTCTGCTTTTCTTGTTCTCTTTCCTGAAAGCATACAGTATTGCATTATGACTTGACATGACAAACAGATTAAGATATTTTGAGAAAATGTTGAGCAAGATGTTATAGCAAATTATATTGTTATAAACAACAAGATTGTAGGTACCCCCTGCAAGCCTTTGTAAATAAACATAGCAAGAAGCCTACACTAAGAAGTTCCAATTATTGTGTATTCCCATATGGATAGGACGACACTATTTAAAAAATATCAATGCACATAATTCAAGAATGAAAGCATTACAGGAGTAGTCAACCCTTCATTTAAGAAAATGAAGGGTTGACTACTCCAAGAAAACCTTGAGCAAAACAAAATGGTGTAGATTGAAGTAATGTTAATACTGCATTGAAAAAAAAAAAAACATGGATGCACTCACATGATCTTCCAAAGACCTACTTTTCCCCTCTAAATAAAACATCACCTGCCACTCTATGGGTGCAAATACAGTTCGTAATGAAGAGCAGAATGCTAAGGAGGTCTCATTATTAAGATGCTTTATATAAATCGGGTAAAGTACTAGAGAAGTGAGGAATCGCAATGACAAAGCAGGTTGTTCAGCAAGCACGAGTACTGAGTGACGAAGTGAGCCAAAAGCACTAAATTAAATTAAGGAAAATGGTGTGCAGCCAGGCACACCCCCAAACACCACATCTTGTGTGTTTTTATTATTACTGTTAAAAAGTCAAATTTACATTGTGCGAATTTTGTGTTTCTCCAAACCCAAGAAATTTGAGGGTTCACAATATACGTAGGATTTGATTGTAAATTTATTGTAAATTTAAGAAATATTATTAATTATTCACACCCCCCCTTACCCAGTTCTCACAAATTCAATTTTGGTCGAGTGTGAAGTATTCGTTCAGATATCTAAAGACTTTTTTCATTAAAAATTATTTCTTAAAAACAAATTAGTTTCATTTCTTCATAATATTATATTTTATGAGGGGAAGAGGGGGGGCTAATTGGGGATATGGGGGGATGGGGGGGGATTGTTGATGAGGAAGGAAGGACAAAGGGAAGGGCACGAGGGGGGAGGGAGGACATGTAGAAGAGCAAGAGGGTGTGGGGAGATCGCGAGGGGAGGTGAGAAGATTAAGGGGAGGGTCGGGGAGGGCTACGGGTGAGGACGAGGGGAGGGGAGGGGGGGGGGAGTGCACAAGGACGAGGGGAGGGGGGGAGGAGTGCGAGAGGACAAGAGGAGGGGGAGGGTTCTTGGGCACTGCCGAGTACCCACATAATATTATATCTTATGAAAAGGAATAGGGGCTAAGATGTGGGGTATGGGAGGGGGTAAGACAAGGGGAAGGCAATATCACTTCTGATTCTGATGGTGACAAGATTCTTGACACCATCTCAAACATAGAGCTGCTTCACAGCCTTGAACCAACTCAAAATATTGGTGTATGATCCCCTAGTGTTCCAAGTTCTCTAGCCAACTTTCGTTGGGGCTGGATGACGACCCCTAACACAAGATTGCAATATCATAGTGGAAGAAATCATTACCTAGTGTTATTTTGGTCACTGGTATGTCAGTGTCTTCCTGTTAGCTCTTTGGGTAAATCAACGTAGGCTATTGCAAGTGCAGGAGCAATTGCAGGTCCTCAGTGAGAACCCAGTCATAAGATAGATAAACAGATGGAGAAATAGATGGATAGATAAGAGAGATGGATTATAGATAAATAGATGGATAAATAGATAGAGGACAGATAGAAGTCAGACAGACAGACCCGAGCAACGCTGGTTACCCCTTAGTTGATTACGTTAGCGTGATTTCTTTGTATTGCTGTTATTATTGTGCACCTCGACATTCAGTACTGTACTTCTGCACTATTATTGTGGTTCTCTAAGCTACCAGTTCCTGTGGTTTGTTTGCTGCCCAATGTCATATTTTCACAATCCGCATATATATCTGGCAACTTCTCTGTCAAGACTAGTCTATTTGCCTCAGGCATGTCTCAACAGTTTATCAATGATTACCCATATTTGGTCCCCAACACATCCAGTATTGTCCCTGTCTTTGTGCATAGCATGAAGATGATTCTGTACAGTTCAAGTGAATTTTTTTGTTGCAAATGTCACAGACTGCCTTACAACATGCTTCCACTATGTCTGAACATGCCTGCCATACACAGCCATGTTTACCAGTTCTTCGTCTAGAGCATTGGGTTGTGCCAGTTTCCTTATTTGTGATTTATATACTGTCTTTATGTTATATTCCCATACAACCCAATCACATCCCATTCATTATTTTTGGGTTAACTTTAACCATTCATTATTTTTGGATTAACTATAACCATTCATTATTTTTGGGTTAACTATAACCATTCATTATTTTTGGGTTAACTATAACCATTCATTATTTTTCGGTTAACTATAACCATTCATTATTTTTGGGTTAACTGCATGCAGCTACTGACATATCATCCAGTCCACCTAACACTGTATATTACAATGTCCAGCTCAACTAGCAATGTTCATTCCAACTAGCAATGTCCAGTCCAACTGTCATAACGTCCAGTTCAACTAACATAACCATTACTAACCTGGGCTTTTCTAAGTTGTTCATAAAGTCTTTGACGATTCTCCTCCTCTCTCTGTTTCCGAAGATCCTATTAAAAAATAAAAAATAAAATACAAGCCCATTAATTTGTGGTCAAAGCTGATTAACCCATTACTTTCTAATCAATATGTCATCTCATGCACATCTCTTAGTGAAACACGCAATGATTAAGTAAGAGAACTTGGCAAGCCTGTAGCTGTTATGACAAGGAAACCCAACACAAGATGCACAGTCTGACAGTAGGGTCCTTTACAGTAAGTGGGTGCACATATAGGTAGATGGATTGGAGAGTAAGCAGGTAGGTGGGTGGTGAGTAAGCAAGCAGGTGGATGGGTTAACAGGTGGGTAGGTTGGTAGATGGATTGGTAGATGGATTGGTAGGTAGATAGGTGATTACACATGTCAGCAGGTGGATGGGAGGGCAGATAAGTAGGTGGGAGGCAAGTAGGTGTGCGTGTGTGTGTGTAGGTTGGTAAGTGGGTTGGTTTGAGCAGATAAGTAGATAGGAAGATGGATGGGTAGGTAAGCACGTGGACAGGTGGGCGAGTAGATGGCTAGTTGGGTAGGTTGGAAGAGTTGGACAATTTTAATAGGAGGGTGGTTTTGTGGAAGGTCTGGGCGAGTAGGTAGGCAGGTAAGAAGACGGATAAATGAGACGTGTTAGTGTGAACATGTACGAGGGGGAATCAACGGACAATACGACCCCCTCGGATGCTGCTCTCTGCGTGCAGTGTCTTGTCTTCGTTTGACTCCCCCTAGCAACTGAAACCCCAGAAAAAGGAAGACTCTTTGTACCCCTTGGTTTGGAAAAGTGAAGAATAGCACGACGTAATGAGAAATGCATCATAGAATTGTTGTTTCTTTAGTAATATTAATACATCTTCACACTACAGTACTGTACTATTTAAACACACAACAGCTATATTTTACAATTAGCCACAGAACATTAAATTAATTTCACAACAGAGCACGTGCCTTCCAGCAATATTATATTATCACATTTTTTATGTACAACTTTTTATACAAATTTAAATACACAGAACATTACAAATTTACACGGACCTCTTTTTCTCGCCGCAGCTCCTCTTGTTTCTTTGCTCTTTCTTGTTCTCTTTGTAATCTGGAAAAAGATATTTATCACTGCATCACACTATTCAATAAAGCCGTAACAAATAATACTCAATATCTAAGACCAAAAACGTTTCTATTCTGAATGACACAATCAGGGCCCCAAACATTGATTTGCAGGCCTAGCAAGCATACTCTCTTAGTTCTATTCCATGAATAAATGCAAAACAAATTATAAATTTCATATAATTAAATTATCACTGCACTTAATTGACGACCCAAAAAGAGCGAATATAAAGCTCACGAGGGATCCTCGCAAGTTCCTCAGCACAAATGGATACAACAGAGCATTTTCCTACTGTATGTTAGAAGTTGTATTTACTGAATACCAAATTATTTTGACATGGAATGGAACAATGATAGTAACTTTTGTGTTAAAATCAAAATCCGATTTTAAATTCTGTGGTTTCTATATGTGCATCAATGATTTAACTCTGAATTTACATGCACAAAATAATACAGCATAACATCTTAAATTAAACTTGTACAATATTACAGTTGTTATTTTAAATTAATTTTATGTCTACAATATGATGCAACATCTTTTCTTTTATACATAAATAACCGCAATACTGTTTTTGAAGGCAATTTACTGACATTCTTAGACCTGTTTAAAACTAATATATTATTGCTACAAACAATTGTTTTATCTCCACAACATTCTAATCTTTCCATATATCCAGCAACATTATGTACTGTATATTAATACTTCTGAAAACTCTACTGCCCTTTGCAATATGACAAAGATGTTTTTTTTTTTAGGATTAAAGTTCTGAGTGTGTAATAAATAATTGAGCAACACACAACTTATCTGGGCAGAGTGAGGGCTAGTTTAATAATAAGATACGGGAGTAGTAGTGATAACCCAAGCTATTCTATGGCACACTAAGAGTCTTGCCACTTTTCAGCATAATTTGATTGCATGGCTTCACAAAGTGGTTTTACATTAATCTGATCTATATTCCTGCATCGTGGTTCCTCCCAAGGAACCACGATGCAGCAGCTTTAATGCAGTGTGGTCCTGGTAGAACAAAGCCCTCTTAAAAATTAATTCCAAGAAAATCAGAAAGCATCTTAGTCCATTTAATAGCTCTCACTATAATGACACGCATTCAGAGCAACAAAGCCTCTTATGTTGACATGCCATAGCAATACCAATAAGACGTCGGATGTAGTCAACCGTTGTTTTAATTTCAACCATTTCAATACAAGATTTTTGTTTAAACATAGAGGCGATACTGTGCCCATATCATGACCAAACCTATGTCTCGAGCTACAGTATTTCTTGTGTCCCATCCATTACATGATCAATGGGAGGCAGACCCTGGGTGCTTGAGAAGATCTTTATAAACATATTACATTTGTGCACAGAATAATGATTATACTGTATACAGTACAATACTCTAAGTATAATTTTAGCACTGAAATGTATATTAAAATATAAAAATGAAGACTATAATATATGTACTGTACTTTGTGTAATTATAAGAGCTACACCTTGCTGATCCTGGAGCATACCTGGATAGGGTCTAGGGTGTTTGTGTACTCCCTGAGCCCGGCCTGAGGCCAGGCTTAACGTGGCAGCCAAGGTTCAGCCACTTCACCTTAAGGCATACACAACTACGTAACCTAACCAAATGAAATGAAACCTCGATCCTGCGGTAAGTCAGAAAGGCAAACACCCATGGGAAAGCAGGTTACAATCATTAATATACAAGTATGTATGTATACTGCCAAAGCAACTATACACAAAGCCATAACCAAATCAAGAGAAAGCACATTAAAATGAGAACCCCAAGAGAGTAGGCTTCAAAGGAACAAGATACATTGTGTGAAAAACAATGTTGCTTTCTTTTCAAGCAAGCAAAACAGGTTGCTTGACCTCCATCCTTAAAACAATCCCAAGGCAAACTCAAAACCCAAAATACACAGTACTCAAATACCTGAGTACCCAGATGAGTACAGAGATATTAGCAAGAATTTTTTCAGTGACAAGACAGTGATGTGGTGGAGGCTGACTCCACAGTTTCAAATGTAGATATGATAAGAACCCAATAGACTCGGGAACCTGTACATCAGTTGATTGACAGTCGAGAAGCGGGACCAAAGAGCTGAAGCTCAGCCCCCCCGCAAGCACAACTAGGCGAGTACACAGGTGCAGTGGTGTTATACCCTACTCGAAGTAAATGAAGGCTCAATCCAGGGATGAGGCATTTAGATCAACCCTCAATAGAATGGGATACAAAATTGGAAGAATGTAATGCCAAATTGAGTATTCTTAGCCATGGAAGTAAACTCATAGGCTTAGTCCTAGGATGATTTGTACAGGTGAACACACCAAGAGAGCTGGTGACAAACATGAAGTCACAGATTTCCTGAACTAGATAGTTTTCTTCAAGAAGTGCCGGACCAACCAAGCTGTGGTGGACATGTGGGCCTGCGGGCCGCCCAAGCAACAGCCGTTGAACAAAGCTCTCACAAGTCAAGCAGCCACAAGGGGAGTAGAACAACTCCCAGAACCCCATCAAGCCGTTGCTAGGACCTTCACCCTAGAGCACATACCACAGCGAAGATAACTACAGTATGCCAAACCAGTCGGCAAATCTCAAACACGTGAAACATTGTATACACACACAACAACTATGTTTACAGTGTTGGTACTGAAAACTGGTTGCTGTTTGGGGTAATAGCCAAGCAGCAAACTGGACTTCAACTGAATAACTAGTCTTCTTATTTACCTGATAGTGGCTTGTAAGCAATGAAACAGAATATTTGGGAGCATCAAAATGAATATGCTGACAGCCTCACTTTGTATTATCTGTTTTCGCTGAATACTAGCTTCAAAGATATAATCTCATTGTTGTGCTATGAATGTAATTGAATTTCTGTATTGTACTTACTGTTCAATACCAGTAATTTGCATCACCATGTCATAATTCAGAGAGTACGGTAAATTAAACAACCACGAACCCCATCCTGTTCCTAACTAGCCAAGGTAAGGTAAGGTAATTATCAAAAGAAGGCACCAAACCGGGAAGGCTATGTATCCTAAATGGCCAATTGTGCATTCTTTGGTTACTCTTCCTATCACTCTCCTGCCATGCCATACATCTTTGTCAACATTTAATAAATACCTCTGTAGCTTTTTCACTCGACATTCATTTTTATACTAAGTTGTAATTCTCAACATGATTGCTCTCTCCAGCACTTTGCACTAAATACTTGTCAGTGGCACAGTTCTATGTTTTAATGCCTCATGCCAGTCTGTCATGGTGGAGTTAGCAGTTAAGATGGTGGTTGTGGTGGAGGAAAAGGTGGTGGTAGTGATAAATGTGGAGAGAGTGGTAGAAAACAAGGTGCTGTTTTAAGTACAATGATTATAATGAGGTGGGTTATAATGAGTTCTGCGAGAAGGAGCTGAAAGAAGTAAAATGAGCAGAGTGAGTATAAGTAGTTTAGGTAATATAGCAAATTCAGGGAGTATAATGAGGAACTTCAGTATACTGATTACACTATGTCAAAACTTTTGTCCCAGGGTAGTGTTATTTTCACACTGTTTATGAGTTCAAGATATAGAAAATGGTTATTACTCTTCTCAAACTTCACTTTGACCTTTGGCTAAGACAGCTTAGGAAATGCATCTTGAAGGTTGCCAACTCCTTATCTAGAGCCGAGCACACTGTCACAGCTCTTGATAAGGAGGCGGCGACCTTTAAGCACCTTCAAGGCGTCTTCCCTCAGTCGACTGAAGAAGAGGTCCATACAAAGTTTGAAGGGAATAATGGCTATTTTGTATACATTGAAACTACCACTATCAAATGACCAAAATTCTGCGACTTGTATGTCAGGCTGCGAGCAGCAACATAGACCTGCCTGGTTGATCAAACCAGCAACCATTTTAGCAACCGAACCCGTGGCCCGCACTCAAGAGACCGGGCAACAGGGACACTGATACCTAAAATCGTCAACAGGTAGTCAACAGATAGTGTTACAGCACTGTACGATTACGAAGTTTGAATTCGAGGAGCATGCCGAGATAAAGGACTATAATGAGTGCTGAGAGCATTACAATGTCTAATAAGTTTAATGAATATAATGAGCAGAGTATAATAAGCAGAGAAGAATAATAAATGATAGGAATTTAATATGAGTATAACGAGTTGAATAATTATTTGAGTAAAGTGAGAAAAAAAAAAAAGTAAAAATTCAAGAAGCACAATGGGCTCTATAAGTATAATGTAGTATAATAAGTATATGAATTATAATGAGCTTCAGACTAATAAATTTTGGGAGAAGAATGAGTACTAGGAGTACAATCTTAATACAATGAACAATATACAGAATAATGAGTTAATATGTACAAAGTATATAGTGATTACAGAGAATATAATGAGTGAAGAGTACAACTAGTAGAGGAGTACAATGAGCATAGGGAATATAAAGTATAATGGGAAAGAGGAGTATAAATTAATTAAATAAAGATTTATAATGAATACTGTACAGGTTATATAATGAAGTATAATGAACACAGAGTGTATCTAGGTACTAAATCTAGTCCTTTCCCTGCTTGCCAGGTTCTGGGATCCTGGGAAACGTGTGGAAGTTCCAGTTAGTTCCATCCAAAGTTAAGATGTGGTTCGACCTGGTTTGTCATTCGAAGTCAGCTTCCCTTTCTTTGCCCCTAGCAGCTCTGCTCTGCCTGCAGCACTGTCGCCATCTAGTGTTGAATCAGCCTTAGGTGACTTGGTCGAGCAGTTGAGAGGAAACTTAAATTTCACTTGAGTGATGTTTCCACTAGGCAGGGTTTTGGCCTCGGGTGTTGTATCAATTCTTCCAATTTTACCCATTTCACCACTACCAAAGCCGTCGGGTTTAAGCCCCATTTACCATTCTTCGGGTCTTGAATCGCTGGGATCCTTTTGGGCTTTTGGGGTTTAGCACTGGGGCACCTTCCTTCCCCGTCAGTCGGTGTTTTCACAGACCCTGCGATTT